GTCCGGGCCTGCAAGGGTAGGAGGGGGAGGGGAGGGTGGCACAGTAGGGCTGGTTGTGAAAGAGGGTGGCAGGGCCCGCATGCGGGCAGCCTTCAATAGGTCCCCTTGCTGACTGCTGCGGGTCCGATGGGTGCCCCAGCAAGCGACCGCCAGCCCGTTGGCCCCCGCTGCCCACATATGCATCACACATACGTAAAGGTATGTGCACATGCTCCCACCCATGATTGAATCCTATGTTGCAGGGCGCGGCCGGCCTGCAGTACCAATCCAAGCTGGACGACTTTGACGCGTTTGTGGCGCACTCCAAGCTCTCAGTGCTGCCGTTTGCGCGCCCGGCGCCACCACAGCCACTGCAGCAGCTAGCGCCTTCTGCCCAGGCCGGCGCCGCAGGCGGCAGCCAGCCTCCAACACAGCAGCCACGGTCGGAGGACGGCAGCCAGCGGGGCGCCGCCGGCGCCGTCATCACTCCAGCAGCTGCTGGGAAGCTGCTGCTGCTGGACGACCTGCCTTACGTCGGCGACGCCGAGCGGCGGCAGCGGCTGACGGCGGCGCTGCGCGACTTGTGCGTCACGTGCCGCTGCCCGGTCGTGCTGATCACGACAGAGACCAGCGGCGGCGGCGGCGGGGCCAGGGGCGGCTACGGCGGGGGCTACGGCGGTGGTTTTGGCGGCGGCGGCGACGGGGGCGCCATGGGGGCAATGGGCGGTTACAGCAAGGGGCTTCACAAGGTGGGTATCGGAATTCAGCGCCGCTGCGTGCCGTGCGCAGAGGGCCGCAGCAGCGGTCAGGACCGAGGGCCTGCTATGTGCAAGCCGGCGTGCGTCTCTAGGCTGACCGCTGGTGCAATCGGTGGGATTGTTGCTGCCTGGAGCGGAGCGCGGTGGGCCGCGTCTCGGGCCGTCGGCTGTCTCTGAGGCAGGCGATCGCGCCGACGCCCTCACTCACCTGCCTGCCAATTCCGACGTCTGACCGTCTTTCATGCACTCGGCCCCGCCCTTGACAGGACGTGTTGTCACTGCTGGACTCCCTCGGGGCCGCCACGATCACGTTCAACCCAGTGACGGCCAACGCGCTCGCCAAGGCGCTGGTGGCCGCGGCCGCCAAGGAGGGGCTGGAGCTCCCGCAGCACGCGGCGGCCGCGATCGCGCAGGCGGCGGACGGGGACCTACGTAACGCGATGCAGAGCCTGCAAGTGTACGCGGGCGGCCGCCCCCGCGCCGCGGCGGCGGCGGCGTCCGCCCGCGGCCGCGGCGCGGGCG